TATAGTTCCATTTTGTTCAGATTAGGATGAATTAGATGTATTGCTTTAGACAGCTTATAATGTTTGTTTAAAAGTTAAAGAATATACAAATGCTTTGAGAATTGCATTACGTATTGATAAACCAGGAAAGGTTGAGTAAGTATTTTAAGAATGCGAAGATGCAACAATAAAGAAGCAATTAGCATTTTAATTGGCTAGACATAGATATTAAATAGATGAGGAAATAATTAATGAGGAGACTTTAAAAAAGATAGCAGCAAATTAATATTTGAGTTAATTTTACATAAATTTGGCAAAAGATTTAGAAGTATTGGAACCAAAGACACCAGATTAAGTTTATAAAGCTCATTTGGAAGAAAAGAATAGAGAAGCAAATTTTGAATAGATTTAGAAAAATTTAGCAGCTACATATTGTAATGGATTTGTAAATGCAGGATTTAAGAAAGATGCATTAATGAGTAATAAAGAGAATTCATGGTTGAGTAATGTTAAAAATGATCATACAACAATAGCAGCAGTAGCTAGTATAGGATTAATAAATTTATGGAATATTGATAATGGTACAGAATAAATATCTTAATATTTTGATTTAAGTGATATGTATACAAAAGCAGGAGCTTGTATAGGATTAGGATTATTTTGTAGTGGAATAGTAGATGAGAATTAACCAGCATAAGCTATGTTATTATAATAATTGGAGGATCCTGAAATTTAAGTAAAGATTGGTGCTGTAATGGGTTTGGGATTAGCATATGCAGGATCAGCAAGAGTTGAATTATAAGATTAATTGATAAGTGTATTGATTGAATCAGTTAGTGTTGAATTATCAGCAATGGCTGCATTATCTTTAGGTCTCATATTTGTAGGAAAATGTAATGATGAAGTAGCAAATGCTATTGTCCAAATTCTAATGGATAGACCAGATACATAATTTGATATGTCAATTTCAAGATATTATGCAGTTGGATTAGGTTTACTCTATCTTGGATAAGCAGAAGCAGCTAGTGTTATCATTGAATCACTTGCTCTTATTAATCATAAGATTGGTAAATATGCTAAAGTTACTATTACTTCACTGGCATATGCATCTACTGGAAATGTCCTTAAAGTTTAAGAATTATTAGGATATTGTTCAGAAGTAACATCTGATGATAAAGGTACAAAAATAGATAAGAATTATGAACTTTAATAAGTAGCTATTCTAGGAATTGCTTTAATTGCTAGTAGTGAAGATATTGGCAGTGAAATGGTTTATAGAATCTTTTAACATATTTTATAATTCTCAGATGTGGAAGTAAAAAGAGCTATCCCATTAGCTGTAGCTTTAATTAATGTAATCTTATATTTAATTATTTATTTAGATATCTAATCCTAAAATATAACCAATGGATTTATTACTTAAACTAGCCCATGATAGAGATTAAGAATTATCTTATCG